TCTTATATATATATATATATATATATATAAATAAAAATACCTCTTGTTTTTCAGGGGCATGTCCCTTTTTTTCTTTATGGATCCCACTCTATGGTATGGTGAGGCCATAATGATCTAAAAATTAAAATTTCTATGGCCACTAAATGCACACTGTTGAGATGGGGCATTCCACAAGATTGCTCGTAGATTTTCCTTTCAATATATTTTCTTCATTCATATGCCTGTTCCAGACCATACTAACCCATGGAATTAATGGGTAAAGCAGAAAGAGACAGCTGCCCATCTCTGCTATTCCTTATATTGAATAATTCAGGAGTGGACTTCTTTTCAAAATAGGGTTTTTCTGGTCTCCTGTTGCACTGTCTCTGGTGTTGACATTCCTCGGGACACTCCACCATATTTTCCCCCCTCTTTTTTCTTTCAGTGGAGTATGAGAGTCCTTACCACTTTCAAGTTCCAAGCTGGTGGGGTGGTGGACCATGGAGGCATCCTCCTGAATGTGATAATGATATATGATACAAATAATTATAAAACAGTTCAGTTGAGAGTAGGGCGGTGGTGTTCTGCTGGTGTAGATGATGAGATGCCCTCTAATCTGATGCTCCATTTCTGTACAGGTTTATCAGAGGGGATGTTGTAGCTTTGGAGTGTGCAGTCAAAATTGCAGTTCACCCCTTTGATTGAGATCCCTCATCCTACCCCCACATGGACGTTGGTTCGCAGTGGTTGGGTTTTGGATTCAGAGCTGAACCAACCATGATAAGTCCTCACACACATATTATAGGTGTCTCTGTTTCCTCCCTCAATTATACTCTTGTTCCCTTCACCTGTGTTGTGGGTCACGGTGGTGGAACTTGCAGATTAATACATTTCTTCCTCATGATTTGCTGTGTATGGTCCATTGCACCCTAGCTACTCTACACTGAGAGGCATATCCTTTTACTCTCACCCACATTGATGTACACTATGGGATTGAGATTCCAATATTGTGTGGTTCAGATACCTATCCAACCACTGTTCTCTCCATTTTGGATGTGATCCTCCCAATTTCCACCCATGTCTGCAACACCTCTTTCCACACTGGGCAAGGAGTATACCTGGTACAGAAGTGGTGTGGTCTCCCATGTATGATACTCTACTGCGAGGATCTATTCTTTTGGATGCTTCTTTTTTTCTTTCACACCAGTCCCTCCATCTATTCAGTGTGGGATTCTTGCTATTTATGTGAGTGGAGGTAATGTACATATCGGAATCGGAAGTTATAATTTTCATGTATTGAAAATACTTACCTCCTCTCACACTTCCCACCCTTCCTCCCCACTGAAAATTGGTGCCTTCATTTTCTACCAAATCTCGAAGTGATAATTCAGTAGAATCAAATAGGAGTCGCATGCATCAGGAGGGTTGTTACATGATGATTTGCATGTGAGACACAGTTGAACCACATTGATCTTGGGTTACATGGGAGCTCAAGGCTTGTGGCATGTGAAAAAATTACTTGCATATAGTGGGCAGCACTGAACGAGAATAGCTATTTATGTTAGTAGAGGTAAGTACCTATCGGAAATACATTTTCAGTATAGGAAAATTATAGCGTGTACATGATACCTTAATTATTATCCATGCTACTGGGGCACAGATTGTTTTAAAGAAAGTATTTATCTTGTGTTTTTTTTTATCAGATTTCTAGTAAAGAGACTTTACACAAGCTCCAGACCAGATACCAAAGATTATGAGCTGGTAAGTCACATAAGTGTCATTTGCATAGCTTCTTGAGCTACTCAGTTTCTCTTCTGTTTTTAAAAATACATTATTCCGAATGTTTAAGATGTTATTTATATAAGCATGAAAAAAGTATTAGGAAGTAGACATTGCTTCTTCCATAATTGAAAATTACAGTACTCTATGTATGTGTAGATGATATGGAACAAATATTTCATGAGAAGAAATTTATACCTCTATAACATACTACATGTTCCTGTATTGTATGTGATACTATGAATGAGTATTTTATTTTATGCAGAATATACTATAAAAGAAAATGGAATTACAGAATGTGTAACCTCAAAACACAAGCAGGTGAACTTAACTGTTAGCTATATGATTTTTACTAAAATAGTTTCAGTGACATCACAGTGTAAATAGAACTGATTCTTATCAGATTTTTAATAGCATGACTATTAAGGGTGAATTTGGTTATGATACAAATTTGAGGTGGAATATACACCACAGGAAAGTAAGTTTGTAGCATTTTTATTCTATTCATCTTTTAAATTTTTATAGTGATTTCAAGAACAAAATTTGTATTTGTAGAGAATATGATAAAGATTATGATACCATGAATATATCATATGCTAATAAAGCACATTGGTCATTTGTATGTGTACTGTTATACTATCATAAAGTTGTAAGCATTTAAAACTTTTGGATTTTTTCTCAAACTACATACGCTTACCAGTAGAATTTTTTTTTTTTTCAAAATAGCTAAAAATGACAACAACAACAGATTCAGAAAGTGCTTTCTCAAAATACTTAGGTGAAGAAGGTGAGTGGACATTATTATTGTACTTGTATTTTCTTTTAATTAAAGAAAAAAGAAACACTGGCTAACTGCAGAATATAACATAGCCTAATATAGTGTACAAACTGTCTTAATAACTACTTCATGATGTAGGTAAAGTTATTGTTCAGGAATCAAAAGATGGTTCTTTGAATCGTTTGTATAATTGACAAAACTAATGAACAGAGAAGAGAAAATTAAGTGATATAAAAATAAAATTGTCAACAGCTATTCATACTAAATATGGATATACACTGAGCCAATTACTTGTTAGTAAAACATATTCAAAGTTAAATACTGATGTATTTTTGCTCTAGTTCTTTTATCACTAAGGAAAGTTTTAAAAATCAATACCAAAGTTAGATACTTTTGTGGATTTTTTCTCAAAAATTAGATTAACTAAACTATAAAACAATGACTGGATAATTAATTAATTACAAAACACATAATGGAATACAAATTTAAAATTACCAAAAAAGTTAAATAAATAGTTCACAGAAACTGAGACTTTACAAATGTGCTCAATCTTTCAGCCATGGGGGTATTATAATATGATGGTCAATCCCCCTTTTCATTGGTAAAAAATAGCCCAAGAGTTGACAGTGAGTAGTGTTGATTAGCTGTTTTCCTTCTAGTTTATCACTGCTAAATTAGGGAAAGCTAGTATAGATAGCTTTCAAGTAGATTTGTGTGAAACTCAATAAAATAAACAAATTGTTCAAAGCAGTACCTTGTTTGAGTAGCAATGCATTCTGATTAGCAGTATGAATTTTTATTTAAGAAAATATGTATGAAAATATTTTATTTCATTGTGAACTTCATTTCAAAAATGAAGTGGAAAGAGTAAACATAATACTTGTAATAAACTTAAATGATATATCCCACATAAACCATTAGCCCTATCACCCTGGGTATCACTTACTGCACATGACACAAGGTTTTAGAGTCTTACATTCAAAATTTTATTCAACTACTTTATGTTTATGTTATACCAATTAGAATAGCATAAAATCTTAGCTAATAGTCCATATTTCAATAGTATACAAGTTTTAAGTTATTAATTCTACAAGGCAATTTTTAAAAAAATCTCGAATTTCCACTAGTGTGACCCGTGTGACACATTTTCTTTTAGCATGTCATCATCCCTATTTTATCTACCACCACTCGAAAAAGTACAAAATTAAACGTAAATTACTTTAAATGAGTACAAAGAGGTCACATGGTTGGTCAAATTGACCGAGCCTGTGTTCTTCTCTCTAATGGATAAAAGCAAAATAATTAATTGTAAATATATTCTAACAGCAGTCTAATGTCCTTGTTAATATAACTATTGTTGATAGTACTAATATGAGTCTCCCAGTGGGTTATTCGTAACTTTATGGACTTACATCTCCAAAATTTGGATTGCTCATTATGTAGCTATGAAGAAACATTCGGTACTGAATTAATAATTTCTGATATGATATCTTACCTCTTTTCACATAATAGTTATTTTCATTCAGTGCTGCCCTCAATATGCAGATAGGCATGTGACAACTCTCCACCAATAGGAGTGAGACACGCACTCCTGTCACAGCTGGCTCCCTCTATATTGTAGAACCCAATGTTTACTTCTCGATTTGGCACTTGTTTTTTGCACTGTCTTAGTTTGTTTTGTTTTTTACGATTTATTAAAGAGTTTAATTGTTTTTCGCTTCATTTTATACAGTGATAATCTCACTGTAATTTATTAATTTTGAACTTTGCTTCAGATGAATATGACATCAGAATTTTATTTCATTACCACTATTTCAGTAGTGATGAATATTACAACATTTTAACCTGCTGTATTTTAGGCCACAGGCCTTACACTTTTGGCTGTGGAGGTCATGGTTTTTTGTGGAAGGTGAGGTCCATCATGTGGCTGGCTGTTTCTTCCTAGCTCAGACCTGACATTTCTTTGTCTGGTGAATCTAGGCAAGATTAAGACAATTTGGGTTTTTTTTTTTCTACCTTCCTTCCTTGGCTATGCAATCCCAATTTTGTACCTGTGGATACTCTCTGGCCATCATTAACCGTCTTGGTTATGAGGACACAGGTATATTACCTTTTATTGGTATCCTTCCTTGGTATACTTAGTTTTCTTTTTTGTCTGCAGGTGTTGGGGTCCATGCTGACCCAATTTTCTGGTGAACTGCATTTAGGGGGAGTGGAAACATTGTGCCTTGACTCCTTGGGTTCAGAATAATTATTTTTTCATACCTTCGTGACATGTTTATCCATACTTAAACTCTTACAAATAGTGTCATGTATACTAGAATCAGGTTTGACTCTAATACTGTTTTGATCTGGTTAGTCTTATGTGTATTCTCAGATGTTATAAGCTCTCACGGCTTTCTTCCGTGGTCCATTTATTTATTTATCTACTGGTACCCTTCCACTCATAGTGGTGTTTCACACATTACTCTAACAGGTTTGATTTGCCAACTTATAAGGCTTGTGTATTCATCTCTTGACTCCCTATGGTTTGTTTTTACAGGTGTCATCACATCAGATTAGACATGTTACCTTTCCCTGGCTGTCTATCTATGTTATTATTTAGGGGAAATCATCCAGACTGGCAGGTGGACCACACCCAACATGTTCATCTCCCCTTAGTCTTATCAGGTGGTTGTTTTGTCCTCATCCAGATATCGCATTATGCCTGTAGCATTACTACACACACTGATTCAACTGTGAGATTGTATTATGGTTTTACCCATTTCCAGTGCTTCTTTTCTGCCAAATCTTGAAGTGAAGATTGGGTTCTACTGTATAGACTCTATAGAGGGAACCAATTGTGACAGGAGAATATCATGATCCTATTGATGGAGGATTTCACATGCTTATTTGCATGCTACAATGCAGCTGAACCTCATAAAAAATGTGGGGTGAGTGGGAGTTTCAAGGCTAGTGGCAAGTGGTAAGTATCCATTGGAAATATATTTTCAGTGTAGGAAACTATTAACGTTGTTACTCCCAAGTGGCTAAGTGGTAAGTTTGAAGGCTTATGCACTAAAAATTCAAGGTTTGATACTGGTGATGGATACAGAATTGATAGCCTTTAGTTTAGATTTAGATTTTCATTTAAACACAAATAAAGAAATACTGACATGAACAATAATTTTCAGATTAGAAAGGAAAAGCCAAAAATACCATAAGCATGTTAATTTAAACAAATACTGATATAGAATTAAAACAAGTTGTGAGATGTCTCAATATTTACCTTACAGATATATAAAAGGGAGCAAAGGAAATAAAACAGTGTATGAAATCAATGGGGGAAAAAGTTAAAACAACTAAATCTTTTCAAAACCATAGTAAATAGCAATCAGAACCATGTTTGCCAAAAAAAGCACAGCAAGATTAATAACCAAATAAAAACAACAACTAATGATTTAAAAATAAAGAAAAAAACTTGTTTAGGAAAAAAAATCGACTTGATATATTATTTTATGAACAATAAGTGAAGTACATATAATTTAGTTAAAACTTTTCATGTACATGAAATATGACATACTCATTGAGAGTGTCAGATATAAAACTGTTTATTGTAGGTATTATTAATTTATTTATTTTGTGAGTGAATATTTCATGATTGTTTAGTGGTTTTTTTTGTAACAAGAGAGTTAAAAGCAGTTATTTTAAAGGTGATAGCTATAACAAGTTTGGATACAGAACTCAGTAAGAATCATACATTGTGTTTATAATTCATTGATGTCGAGGATATAAAGATTTCGAGAAGGCCTAAGTAATAGATGTATAAATAGCAGTAAACAGATGAAAAAATGAGCAGAAGAGAGTAAATTAAAGTCACGGGATGGAGAATTTTGGTCAGACAAAAGTTAAATGCAAAGTTAGTCATTGTGGAAGTAAAGGGCCTAATGGTTGATATGTTAGAGTGAGATTAATAACTTCACTAGAGAAAAGAAGAACAAGTTATTTCGTCAAAGGGTATCCTATAGTAATTGAACCAACCTGAATGGACTTTGACAATAGGCAGACGATTCTTGGAAATACAAAAAAGGAGCAGACAATATTTGAAGTACAGGATACAACCATGGTAACTCAACAACAGTGTAAGTGAACTATAGAAATAGAGAAAAATGGTTTGGCTTGTCAACTGAATTCTAAAGCAGTTAAATAGGCCTAAGTGGAGTTATGACAAGAAGAAGAGAACTATATAGTGTTTAAGATATAACTATGAGTTCCATAGTGTGAGGAATTTTTTTACATATGTTGAACTTGTTCCGAATTTATATATTATTTTGAAAACAAGTGGAGTGCATGCTGTTCATTTATTTTTTTTGAATTTATTGCCAACAAGCCACAGACACCTGTTTGTAGAAGAATCCATAGCCCAACACACTCATATATATTTACATTACTATTTACTACTAAAAAAAACTTCCTTTTATTAGTAATTATTAATACTTTAAGTTAAATATAGGTCTGTTGGGCAAAGCATTCTTCTACAGTAAATGTCTGTGACTTGTTGTTGCTTAACAAACTCTAAACAACTAAGTGACTTGGCAGTAATTTAGGTTATTATATCTACCAAGTCACAAAATGGATTGAGAGACAACCAGGAGTGCTCAGAAACTGTTGTTTCTCTTCAGCCCTTCATGTGAGTTTAGGATTTTAATTCTACAAAGGATTATATAACCTTCATGACAGGTATGATACGTACCAATATTAAGTTAGTGCCTGATTATTATATACCATGAGAGGTAACATGAAGTTAAATATTTTACCCTAACTTAAGTGAGCAGAGTTCTATCTATCTGGGTAACTGATCAAGCATCTGGGAAAGCCATCATTGAAGAACCCAAAGAAATGATAGGCAAAAAGGGAAGAAGAACTTGATTGAAGCTTGAACTCAGAGTGTCTTCAGTGCCAAAGCGTGGATAGTCCAGAGCATGTGGCACACACGTTTGTTTGTTTACATACAATGTGGTGATGTCAGG